AATTATCACGCTCTTTTGTTACTGAAACAACCACAGGATAAATGACTGCTGCTGTTCCTCTTTCTCTTAACTTGTCTGGACTTAAGGGTTGCTCACTGTCTGTTGCTTTAACAACTTAAGGCTTGTGATCATGTGCCAGTCCTAGGAAACCTCCCCAAACAAGCTCATTTTCATTATCTTATCCCACTGTTACTTCACAAACTCTGGATTGATCTCTTTCTCTTCACAAACACACTATATCCTATTTTTCTTCTGTCTCTCTGTAGCCTGTTCCTTTTTATTTAGTGCTTCTCAAATTCTACTGATTATGCCAGGAAGGCCCAACTCAATTACTGCCTTTAGGAGGGCAGTCATTAGTAATTAACCCTTCTTTTGTTCTTGAATGTCTGTACTTATCTAATTCACACTTCTGGTGTTATTCTTAGAGGAGTCTCTGATACTCTGTTCTTTTCAACTCTTATTTATTGAACATGTACAATATATAACTTGCAATACCAAGCAGACTTTTCAGTACAATGATAGGTAATCAACTACATTTGACAAATTTAAAATTTGGTTGTAGGAAACACATAATTCAGGAGAGAAACTAAAAGTGAAAATAAGGATGAAAATGTATAATAAATAGATGATGTGAAATACGAGGAAAAGGTCCAAAGGGGAAGGGGAAGTTGGAGGGGTAGAGGAAAGGAAAGAAAGAAAAGGAATAAATACGAGGAAAAAAATGGAAACAAAGTTTTTGTCAATAGGAAGGGTTAGAGGGGTTGAACGGAGGGCAGGACAATGGGGAAAAATAACAGCCAAGATATATCATATAAAGGTACAAATTTCCAATGATGAAGGTCATTATATTGTGTACCTAAAATGTACCAATAAAATTCATGGAAAAAAAACTGTAGAAATTCTAAAGACAGACTTCATCATTGTACTGAGAAATTAGGGATAAGTAGATGGGGAAAATTTAAGATGAAGCTTAAAAAAGTCATATTGATAAATATAGCCTTTATATATATTATTATATTTATTATATTATTATTGATATTAATTATAATATTATTGATATTATATTCATTATAATATTAATATATTAATTATATATATTATGTTTATTATATATCT